AACTTACAGAAAGTGTGTGAGCTTGCAAGACACAGATATAAAAATGATGGTTAACATTCACTCTGCAGAAGCCTAGATATCATGACTTCCAGGTATGACTCCAATAAAACCTACATTTCCCAACATGCCACGCTATATAGTCTCTCATTATACCCTCTCTGCCTGGTAAATGCATACTATCAGACAGCAGTGCCGTCTTTCTGTCTGTCTCTTTAACCTGCTTCTGCTAAACCTCCACTTACTCTTGTTTAGGATAGTGTGTAGCGGGGGGGTCAGTCCAGTGTTGTTGTTGTGCAACGGAGTGAGTGAGCTGTTGTGTGTCAGCTTGTCTGCTACCTATACTGTTTGCCTCCTGGAGCAGGTTGTGTTTCTGAGCCCGACTCGACCGCACACAGGGGGGGGGGGGGGGGGGGACCTCCCTGCTCGCTCGCTGACGGCTCAGTGCCTCATTTCAGTCCCCACACACATGCATTCATACACTTTTTTTGCTTCTTCGCGCTATAACTGAGAGCAGAGCCTCAGGCGGCGGCTTAGGCCTTAAGTTGGTTTGAACAAGAAGCTAATTTTCTCAAATTCGCACATACAGAGTGAGTGGACTTCACCTCCCCTCAGGGAATTTTTCACTTGCATTCCCTTCACACTTTAGCTCAAAGCTCGCCTGTCAAATTGTGCGAAGGGGTCCTTTTTTGTCTTGTAGTGATGGCCTGAAAAGCTGATTCTAAGGCAAATTTAGCTTTGGTCTGGGGAAAAACGCTGCACATAGTGATGATATTTCTGTTTTTCAAGGGTAGGTACTGAGCAGTGAGACTGTAAAGTACCATACCACAATAACATGACAGTCTTATGGGGATAAGCAACTGATTCTAAGGTAGTCTTTGGGTATTTCCATCAAAAATACCCATCATTTACTTAAAGGTGTTTGGGTATTAGAGCATTGGGAAGTACCCTTCAAATCCACAAGGCAAAAGACGCCTTACAAGTTGTCCCAGTCGCCAGAGGCAATGTCATTCAGCTGTGCGTGTGTGTGTGCATGTGTGTATGTAGGTAAGTAGTTTGGTCACACTCCACCTCTGCAAACTGCAGTAACATGTGATTTGTTCTGCACACTGAGTTTTCTCCTCTTCAAAAGCACTTCCACTAAATGTTGGAAGCCCAAAAAGTGTCATTAAGGGAAATAAATCATCAAAAGCAATGAATAAACACAGGACTGTATCTACCACCGAGGACAGGGAAGTTGGGCACTTGATAATGTTTCAAAGAACGCGTCTATTTTAAAGTCATGAGGATTTTATATTCTACAATTGAACATGGTGAGTGTTTTTGAATGTGATGATTTAGAGGCGTAGAAATGGCAGGATTTGGTATTTCTCAAATAATTGTAATTTTTGCAATGAAGGAAATGCAACCACTGAGTTTAGGCAATTGTGACAGGAGAATAAATTGGACAAAATATATATTGTCGCTGAACATTTGGAAATAGGAAATGTTGTGTTTTTGATGGCTAGTATCCTGGAGTCTCGTATTTCCAATATACTGGCTACAGCCCTGTACAATAAAACTAACAGATGTAGTTATGGCAAGTGTTACAGAAATGACCATTGGTTACTTTCATCCTTTAAACAAACATCCTTCATCTTTATTGGTCTGGATTCTGAGAAGAGTCGCATTTTCTTGCAATTTCTGGACAACTCTTTTACAAAGGTCCAACTCATTTCTCTTGCCTTTTGGTTTCATCCTCCATCTGCACTCTCTTCCTCCTCCTCCTCCTCCTCCTCGCTGTGCTTCAGTCGTCCCGCCGGGCCGCCGGCTAATGACAGACATCACTGCACATGTTGGCTTCACCGAGCGAGAGAGATGCCTGCGACCTTTCCTCTGCTGACTGCAGCACTTTACAAGGCCGAGTGTGTTTTGAAGGAGAGCTTTAGGGTGTGTTTTAGCGGCATGCATGAGAGTCTGTTGTGGGTGTGTGTGTTTGCTCCGAGTGTGTGTGTGTGTGTGTAATTGCTCCATATCATGGTGTAATCTTGATGTAGGCGTGGACATTGGCATTCCAGTGGCGAGTCCATGGAGATGACCAGTAAAAAGTGGTTGGCATAAAGAATTTGGGAGAAAAAAAAACACTATACAGACCTCGTGGTGGCTTTGCAGGGTTAAGACTCTTTCAGAGGACAAAAACACACGCACACGCACACACACACCATGTATACATCACTTCAGGGGACATTACATTGACTTACATGCATTTCCTGGAGACTTATCCTAACCATAACCAGCACATGCCTAACCCTTACCCTAAACCTAACCAAGTATTCACCCTAAAATTAATGATTCCCCTTGTGGGGACCTCCATTATGTCCCCATAAGGGAGGCGAGTCCCCACACGTGACTGTGTAAACAGATTTAGGTCCCCACAAGTATAGTAATGCTAGGACACACACACACACACACGGGAAAATATTGCCCTTAATGACAAAACAGTCAAATGAGGCAGAGTTGCATTTCTAACTTCTGCTGCGTCAGCATTTGGCTGACGTCTGCACTGTAACCTGCCTAAATGAATCATAGTGTGTGTGTGTGTGTGTGTGTGTATGTTAGCAGCTTTTAAAGTCCCAGGATGCCAGACGAGCATGTAAGAGTTTCTTCACCTAATTGTGAAGGCAGACGTGTGCAGGGAAAAAGTGTGATGTAAATCCCCAGCCATGCAGCGCCATCCTGCCAGAGAACTCTGTGCTAATGGCAGCAGGAGGAGGCTGTGTGTGAAAGGAAACCTCCTAATCGACTGCATCTCTGTCTCCCAGCCTCCAGGAGTCTGCTCATCCTCTAGAGCTGTAATTACATAAAGATTAGTCCGGCAGCCCCTCCACACTCCTGCAGCATCTTTTCCATTTCTGCGCCAACATCCTCTTTCCAGGAGGAAGCAACTACTGTTCACACAATGACATGTGATTTACACGTGGGCATCCAGCACTTTGCCCCAGGCTCAAGTAGCTCTGTGGAGAAAGGATTTAAAACGGATGCAAAGAATGACTCTTATTGACTGGCCGTTAAGATGAGGTATGAGTGTGTGTGCTAATAGCATTACTCGCTGCACTCAGTCTGGTCTCTAATAGGCTTTGTGGTTGTTTTCCATCACCGCTCTGATCCAGATCCCAGCTGAGATCCAGGCCGGTGTAACACTGGCTTCAGATCAGCACTTCTGACTCCAGACTTTGACCCTTCACACACTCTCTTATTCTTTCATTACACACTCATGCAATCACAACCTGAAACCCTCCCATGCCGGTTCAACTTTATTATTAGCTCCAAGGAAATGTGGTGAGCTTTAAAAGCTTGATTTCAAATCCAGGGTTCTTACGGTCATTGAAAACCTGGAAAAGTCATGGAAATTCTAAATGCTAATTCCAGGCCCTGGAAAAGTTATGGAAAACAATATTTTCCCCAAAGTTTTGGAAAAGTCATGGAAATGTAACTAAAGTTGCATCAAATATAATTTATATTTGATCTAATCGCCAAAATAGTAATACTATAATGATAATAAATACTGTATCGTATAGTAATGAAACGTAAAATGGCATTTAACTGACGAGGTGTTTTGCTGGTGAGAGATTTTAGTAGCGTGTAGAAGCTATAAGCCTACTATTTGATTTAGATAGGCACAACATGTTTCATATGCAGACCTTATTTTCCTGTTCCATGTTAAAATAAACCATTTTCAGTGGTACCGCTGAGAAAGAGTAATGGTCATGGAAAAGTCATTGAAAATCATTGGTGAAAAAGTGTATGAACCCTGCAAATCCTAAAACAAACACAAGTCACTCAAAACACAAGATTACAACCTGCTGTTATTTGCAAAACACTGTTGACTGTCTTTTAAGTAGGTTAGGTACACGCTTTGTTGGCGATACCAATATGTTCCTTTATTGATACCTTGATTTGAGAGATGTCGACGTGTTTTCTACAAAGTCCTTTTTGTTTATCGAAGTGAGGGAAATGTAGCAACAAATATTTGATGGATTCAAAATTGTTGGAGACAAGACAGACAAGTTTGAACCCAAATCACCGCATAACTAACGGCATTTCCATTAGCCTCATCTGTTCTGTTTTTAGTTTTACACACGCACGCACACACACACACACACACACACACACACACACACACACACACACACACACACACACACACACACACACACACACACACACACACACACACACACACACACACACACACACACTTACTTGAACACACACACACACTTACTTGAACACACACACACTTGAACACACACACACTTGAACACACACACACTTGAACACAAACTGACAGACTCGAAAACCTCTAACTTCTTCTCTCTGACAGAGTTGTAAGTGTTCGTCTGCTGCTCGGTGCATTTCTTTGCAGGTCAACCTACTTGCCCAAGCAAATATGCACTAACATGTAGCCGTAGGGGGAGTGTAACATGTTGCGTCACCATGGTTACCATACCAGACGGAGCCATTACCATAGCAGTAGCAGCCAAAACAAATGAAGACAATGTTTCATGGCCAGTTTCCAAAAAAGGTGTAACCATAACTCAACACTTTGTCGAAGATTCCTTTGATGACTTCAGATGGTTTCCACGGATGTGATTTATGTATCTTTAATGAAACATCATCATAAATACTGCTAGAGGACCTTTCTATTTTGCTATACATCTTTCATACGTGCTCACGTGTACAATGAGATGTATGTTTAAATTAAAGGGGCCCTCTTATGGTAATGTTCAGGTTTAAAAAAAACTAAAAAAAGCACAATTAGGCCTCTTTTTAATATGTAATGTCAACTGTCACGTTTCTTTGATAACTGATGAGGGTTTTTACATTTGGTACTGCATTGCATAATTTCTCTGGCTTTCCAGTTTACACACAGACAATGTTGAATCAACGGTTTTGGAACAAATGTGGTGTCACTTATAGATCAAAATACAATCATTTGGGGGAATTGTTTTTGCTTGATCCAGGTGCAGCACCGTGTGTCCGGTCAGGTCATGGCTCTGAAGATGAACATCCTGGCCAGCAACAGAGCCAACATGCTCAGGGAGGTCCAGCTCATGAACAGACTGTCGCACCCCAACATACTCAGGTAACTCAAACATTGCTGTGTCTTTTTTCTACTTTCTGGTTTAGATTCTATTAATGCTGGTCATGAATTATATTTGTGTGTCTAGAAATAGTTTCTCTTCTCTTCTTTTAGGTTTATCGGAGTTTGTGTTCATGAGGGCCAGCTCCACGCCCTCACAGAGGTAAGACGCTAAAACACTTACGAATTGGAGACCAAGTTGGGGTGTTTTGATTGATTTTTCATGATAATTCAAGATAGTAGTTCAGTCGGTCATCTCTCTCTCCATGAACTCTGTCACAGTTTCAAGATTCAAGGCTTTTATTGTCATTCGTACATGGCTACAGTGTAGTTATATCAATGCAAATCTTAGGTCAAAGGCTCTTCCAACAGTGCAACACAATAAAACGGATAAAATAGTGCAAGTAATACAATAAAATAGAATATAAGTAGTGCCATAAGAGTTATAAACAAGTGATACATCATTTGTGAGTGTTATGGATGTTCTAGTTCAGGTGTTTAACAGTCTTATGGAATAAAACCACTGTGTTACACAAACTGAGGTTGGGCAGTTCATGACTTTCCACCTGTTTCTTGCTTATGATGGGTTTACCTGGCGTCGCCGTGGTAACTGAGCTGCTCAACATTGAAAAGTGGATGAGGGGGGATTTGGTGTCTGCTGTCTGTAGAGGTGGTGTTTGTGTGACCCGTCATCGGAGCTCGATGCTGTAGGTCAGCAGGTTTCAGACATAATAGGGATTAAAAATATCTGCTGCCTGTTAAGAGGTTTAGCTGATGGACAGTGATGGGACTGGGATTGATTTGTGTCACATCTGTGTGTCCTGTTTTTAGATCTACTTTCGCTATCCAGAAATTGCTCGTACAATTCTTAAAACTTTGAAAAAACTGCGCTATGGTTGCACGATTTCCCACAACTCGATGTGGCATCTTCAACTTGTGCTTGTTTTGTCTTACAGCACTTTAAACTCTTGGATATTACATTTACAGTGATTATAAACTAAGAAAAGCTGTCAATTGTCACATTTATAAGCTTTAACAAATAAATATTTAGGCTTTATTTTGACAAATAATTTACTTTTTTAATTGTAAGCTTCAAAAGGAGCAGTGAAATAAACTGGTCAATTAGACAGGACAATAGAAGATACAAAAATATGACTTAATATGTATTCATTGAGATGTGTAAGCGGCTTTCATATCAACATCCAAGCAGTTTCAAAGTGAAAAGTGTTCCTGTGATAATAATGACCTCTCTGTTTCTCCTGATGATCCAGTTCATTAATGGCGGTAACCTGGAGCAGCTGTTGGGCAGCGACGTGTACCTGTCGTGGAGCGTGAGGATGAGCCTGGCGCTGGACATCGCCCGGGGACTGCAGTACCTGCACAGCAAGGGCATCTTCCACCGGGACCTCACCTCCAAGGTGACGACAAACACACACGCCTCAGTGCCCTCGAACAACACGCACGCACGCACGCACGCACGCGCACACACCCCTCTGTTTTGGAAACAGTAAAAAGCTCTAGTGCAGATTAAGAGGCTTTGTGGGTGCGTCACAAAAATGGCAACTACAGTACGTCAACAAAAAGGATCTGTGGGAAATGTTAAGTCAATTTAGTAAAATTATGAATGGAAAATAACATTGAGCTCCTGCCTCACATGTGTACTTTAAAGAAATGAGGGGAAATCAAATCAAACATCATTTATTCAGCGCTTTTTACAACAGAACATTTGTAATAACTAAATGACTGATGATGAAGCATACAGATAAAGTGTGCAAACCACAACATATAAAGCCATTAAACATTAACAAAGCAAGAGATAAATAGTTCTGATGCTATCTTTATCTTATATTATATGGATCGAAGAGGATCGATAAGAGTCTCTGACATCTCAAGTTGAGTCTGCAAAAGAAATGACGACTGAATCACTTGGGAAATGGGACAGAAACCATTTCCGCTCATTTTGAGTGAGATTTTTTGAAAGGGTGGAAACATCAGCAGTTCATTTTGAATGTGGTCACCTACAAAGCCGTTACAGCAAATGAAGAGCTCTGCATAATACATCTGTTGAAACACAAAGGGGCCACATGGAAAAGCAATGCTGGACACACACTTAACAGCAGTAATCCTGATGTGTGTGTGACCTCTGACCCCTCTGCAGAACTGCCTGGTGCGCTGGGAGGGCCGTGTGTGCTCCTCCGTGGTGGGAGACTTTGGCCTGGCGGAGAAAATCCCAGATTACAGGTCAGTCAATTCATCAAAACTCCTATCAACGCGTGTTAGATAAGTCACGCTCAATAAATCACATTCTTCCACTTCTCCCTTCCTCTCATTTGTCCCTCGTGCCATATGTGTCTGAGCTTCTCTTTTCTCTCCGATGAGACACAATCACACAGTGAAGGACGCATTACTCACGGGTTTTTCCAAAGTGTGCATGTCCTGTGTTCACAGACGTCCCCCTCCCCCCCCATCACTCACTGTTTAGGGAACTTTTAATTAATATTATAAAGCGTCATTTTAAAGGCGGCCATGACTCCACAGACTCCCTCCTCTGTTCCCTTTGTCTCGTTGTGTTTCCTCCTCTGTTCCCTTTGTCTCGTTGTGTTTCCTCCTCTGTTCCCTTTGTCTCGTTGTGTTTCCTCCTCTGTTCCCTTTGTCTCGTTGTGTTTCCTCCTCTATTTCCTTCGTCTCGTTGTGTTTCCTCCTCTGTTCCCTTCGTCTCGTTGTGTTTCCTCCTCTGTTCCCTTCGTCTCGTTGTGTTTCCTCCTCTGGGATTGCAGCTGTGTTTTTAATATGCTGTGACATTTATGTGGCATTTTTTTATTCGCCGCCATCAATTAACCGCTGGCTTGTTCTGACTGTAAATGACCAGCGACGTTACAGCTATCTAGTTTGATGTTCTCCAGCTGCTTTTCCAGTGACATCATATCTCCCGTAAAGTGGATGATCCAGTTCTAATAGGATATACCACAATGAGGAAGGTACTAAAAGGTGACGAATGGAAAAATCCTGAATGAATTAGGTTTGACTCGAGACATGTCAAGGGAAAAACTCTTGTTATAAACTCTCCAACGGTTTTACATTCCTAAAATCTTGTTAGTATTAAAAACTCTATCTGGAAAAACTTGATGTGCCCTCAGATATTGGCTTTAAACACTTGAATGTACAGAAATGAGTCTAGTATCTCTCTAGTCTTCCATTTCTAGGCACAAAAGAAAATAAGTGTGTTTCACTTGTTTTTTTTACTTGTTTATTTATTTAAAGGACAGTGCACATTAATCCACATTGCTGTAAATGAGCCAGTATTAGCCAGCAGGCACATTTTCAACTGTTGTCCTTGGCAAGATGTTAAATAACCACAACAAGACTAGAGAAATAAAAACATAATTATCAATCAATGAACAACTTTATTAATCCCGCAAGGGGCAATTGGTTATGAGCAGCAGTTTATGTCATGGACACAGGCAGGAACATACAGGAAGGAAACACACACAGATACACCCGGGAGCACAGATGTGGATAATTCCAATTTACACTATAAATAGTTCATAGCATCACAATAATAAATAAATAAATAAATAATCAAGTTAAAAGCCTTTCAAGAATTTAAAAGTTTGAGTGCAGAAGGGATGACTGATTTTGAAAAGCGATTAGTCCTTTGATCAGGTAGAGCATATCTTCGCCCTGATGGCAACAGACGAAATTCATGTGAAAGTACATGACCTGGAGAGTTCAGAATGCTCTCTGTTGGTTACAGAAGGAATTTAAGTCTCTCTGTTTCACGCCGATGATCTTGGAGCAGGTTTTAACAATGCTGTTCAGGCTGTTCCTGTCTTTCAGTGTAAGGCTATGGAACCAGCAGATAAAAGAAAAACAAATAAGGCTCTCAATTAAAAAGAATACAACAGACAACAGCAGTACAACAATAAATAGGAACAGACAAACATGCAAACAGATGAAATACTATCATACTATGATACAGTTAAAAGTGTTCACATTTTTGATTGCTTAAAAGCCAGTTCTTATGATAGTGGTTAAATGTATGATAGGAGGTGTTATTCCTTATCTGTATTGGTATTGTGTTTCAAAGTGTTGATGCCCTCACAGAGAAACAGTGTTTACCAAAGGAACTGGACCCAAGAGGGACTACACAGTGCTCTCTTAGGGCAGACCTTGTGGTTCTGCTGTTTGAGTTTTTCTGCTGTATAAAAGTGCAGAGTGGTGGGGGTGCCTTGCCGTTTATAATCTTATAAATGAGACATGCATCAGTGTGTTTTAAAAGATTTCCCCAGCTGAGCAGGTTATGGTTGTCCAGGATTTTGCAATGGTGGTATAGCTTAGGTTTTCTGTCCAACACTTTGAGAGCTTGTTTGTGAAGTGATAGGATAGGCCTTAATGTTGTGCTATTCGCCTGGGTCCAGCTGGTCATACAGTATGTTAGAAATAGTAAGTTCAACATTTAGTAAACACCTAACCTAAGTGTGTAAATATATAAAATATTCCATTTAAGTTCCACTATGTCACTTAAGTTCAAGTACTTTCTCTTGTCCCCAGTTGATCTACAATGTGACGTCACTTCTCCTTAACGTCCGTTTAAGTCCAAAACTCAAATTAGACAGTTAGCCGATAAACAGTTCAACAGTCAGGCAGTTGATTCATAACCACACACACACACACACACACACACACACACACACACACACACACACACACACACACACACACACACACACACACACACACACACACACACACACACACACACACACACACACACACACACACACACACACACACACACACACACACACACACACACACTTCCTTTCTGTGCTACTTCCATCTGCTAATGTGGGCTATCTATGATACTACAACAAAATGGCAGTGTTTATAGGTGTTTACTAAATGTTAAACTTACTATTTCTAAGTGTGTAAATATATAAAATATTCCATTTAAGTTCCACTATGTCACTTAAGTTCAAGTACTTTCTCTTGTCCCCAGTTGATCTACAATGTGACATCACTTCTCCTTAACGTCCGTTCAAGTCCAAAACTCAAATTAGACAGTTAGCCGATAAACAGTTCAACAGTCAGGCAGTTAATTCATAACAATACACACACACACACACACACACACACACACACACACACACACAGTCCCGTTAGCTTCCTCCACTCCTCTGCAGTTAGTAAACACACAACTCTCACTGAGGCCAGACAGCTGCCACTGTAACCCGGCCTGCCCTTTTTGTGTGTGTGTGGTGTGTGTATCTGCTGGTTCTGTTTGTGCCCGCTCACCTTTTGTGTTTACATAAGTGTGTGTCACTGTCAGCGAAGAAAAGCTTGTAACTTTGCTTGTTTTTCACTAAAGAAGAATGCGTATCCATCCATCTTAAAACAACGTCACACATTTCGATTTGTACACATGCATGGCTTCTACAAAATGTGTGTCATTGGGTTTTTTCCCAGCTGTAAAACATGAAGCCTTTGTTTGCTCCAGCCTCTGTTTCAATAGCAGCTGCTGATTTGTGTTTCCGTCATTTTCATTGACATGTTTGCTTTGTATTTTAGTCGAGCACCGTTACATCCTGTAGCGCTGTGCTAACAGAGAATGGGCGATGTTGACAACCCTTCCCGAATGTTTGCGTTGGAGTTCTCCACTTTGCTTGTGGCATAAGGGAAAGTAGGGAGGAGGGGAGGATGAGTGGATGGAAGGAGAGGAGATGACAGGGGTTTAAGGAAGCACTCCAAATAAGGTCAAAGTATTCCAGTCTCCTGCTTTCGCTCTTACTGGATCTCTGCCCCTCCATACGGCAAGCCACTCCTGTCCTTTATTATGCCACCATTCCTCTGGTGTCCTCTAAACTATTTCTCTTCATGATGATTTTTCTGTCTCTGTTTTCACTTCGTTCTGATCCCCCTTTCTGGTTCCTTCTGTCTGTCGGTCCACTTCTCCAAATGGTGTTTACATTGGGAGCTCCTCATCTCTCCCTCTGCCATCACTGCCATTTTTTTGTAGTATCATAGATAGCCCACATTAGTGTGTGTGTGTGTGTGTGTGTGTGTGTGTGTGTGTGTGTGTGTGTGTGTGTGTGTGTGTGTGTGTGTGTGTGTGTGTGTGTGTGTGTGTGTGTGTGTGTGTGTGTGTGTGTGTGTGTGTGTGTGTGTGTGTGTGTGTGTGTGTGTGTGTGTGTGTGTGTGTGTGTGTGTGTGGTGTGTGTGTGTGTGTGTGTGTGTGTGTGTGTGTGTGTGTGTGTGTGTGTGTGTGTGTGTGTGTGTGTGTGTGTGTGTGTGTGTGTGTGTGTGTGTGTGTGTGTGTGTGTGTGTGTGTGTGTGTGTGGACTGTTTATCGGCTAACTGTCTAATTTGAGTTTTGGACTTAAACGGACGTTAAGGAGAAGTGATGTCACATTGTAGATCAACTGGGGACAAGAGAAAATACTTGAACTTAAGTGACATAGTGGAACTTAAATGGAATATTTTATATATTTACACACTTAGAAATAGTAAGTTTAACATTTAGTAAACACCTAAGTGTGTGTGTTGCACATTTGTGTTTTCCTTCCTTTTTATTCAGCTAAAATTGCACAACGATATCTGCACATAACTGAAAAACACTGCGGTTTCTTAGATACAGAGGAAACACACACACACACACACACACACACACACACACACACTACCAGATTAACCCCATAAGACACTTCTCTCCCTCTAACTTGTTTTGGTTCTGCGTTTATAAAAAAAAGAACGTGATGCCTGCTTTGCTGGACTGTTTTTGTCACCATCTTTGCTTATTGTCTGTTACATATTGCAGAAGTGTGTATTCTTAACTGTTGGCATGCAAATCTGCCTTTCAGATGTTGTTGACCCAAGGCCTTTTTTTAAGGTTTTTTTAGGCAGTTTTAAAACAAACCCTTTAGACTTTAAAACACTTATTTTTTTAAACCCCTAATTCTTACGACTAAAAGAGCCCTTAAAACAAACTGTATTCTTGCGCTTAGCTGTGACTATTTTAAAAAGAACATCCCCATAATGAATCATAAGATGATTTTAAACTCTGGTGTAGTGAAAAGGATTTGAGAGGTTTCGCTTGAGCCTCACGTACTGTCCTGCTGTTTTAACATGAAGCCTCCCTCCTCTTCCTCTCTGCAGCGATGAAGAGGACCAGGAGCCGCTGGCCGTGGTGGGCTCCCCCTACTGGATGGCCCCGGAGGTGCTCAGAGGAGAGGTGTATAATGAGAAGGTACTGACAGATCTGCGCCTTTCACCTGCAGATTGTTGAGTTCAAGGTCCACTGTGGGTGTGATGAAAGAAAGTCCAATAACCCGGGAAGTGGAGTAAAGCAATAAATATTTGATAAATCAGGGATGTTGAAAGCAAACAGGTATTTAGTGACGTAAGAGGTGCACTTCTTGACCTTTTATTTCTCTATTCAGTAAAGTGGACATGCTGATAGCTGGTTAGGGTTGCGTTTAAGGAATGATGATGACATTTTCTGGGTCATGCAGCCGGCCTGGGCTCACAGGAAACTACAAATGAGCATAAACCTCGTGCAGAATGAAGCATGTTTTCAGATAATACTGCAGAAAATAGTATACATCTACATAATCTAGATTTTCAGACCGTGATGCCTTCAATAAAAAGCACACACTTCATAAACTACTACCACATGCAATTGTTACAGACGAAATGCATTTAGATTTTTGATTTGTTCCCTAGAATATAAGTTTGTCAGTGCACGTACTTAAAAATGCATGATCATTTACGAAAGTTTTTTTAAATAAGAAGTTTGCACAAGTACAAAATAAACTGTATAGTAGTCTCTCATCTTTTATGTCAGTGTGTGTATCCTCTTGAAACGACTCGTCTCTCTGCAGGTGGATGTGTTTGCGTACGGGATCGTCCTGTGTGAGGTCATTGGGAGGATCCAGGCCGACCCCGACATCCTGCCCCGCACCGAGGTACCGACGTGCTGTCATCACACACTCATCATCACACACTCATCATCACGCACGTCTCCTGTCATACAGCACTGCATGAATACCCTCATGGCGAACATTAACTGTATTAGTTTATTGCCTGATATCTGTCAGTGTTTCAAGATCACAGGACTGTTGGGCAAGCTGCAATGTCACAATGACTTGAGATGAAGCAACAGTTTCACCATCCTAGAGATGTGAATTATGTAAAATGTTACACATCTTATTTTCGACTCTTAACAGCCAATTGTCATCTTGAACAAACAGGAAGCCGACTTTCTTATCTTTGAGAAGCTTTCATGTGTCCGAATTCTCAAAAATAATTGACAACATATTTAGAGGGCCTTATGATCTGTTTATTTATCACAGTGTTCAAGCTGTGAGCATGTCCTGAGCACTTGGAGAACATGTTAAAACTGCTTTAATTTGAATGCTGTTGACATGTACCACCATGCAGCACAAATACACAAAAGGGGAGCTGCTAATAACTGCAAAGCATTGAAAACTGTTTAAAGATGGTAGTGAAAGAAACCAAACAAACGTTTATTAAACAAAATAAATTTGCTTTTATCTATGCATTAGCACTCCACATTTGACATCTGCCATTTTACGTATTGCAGCATTTCTTAGTTGTCCAATAAAGGCACCCATAATGATACAATTAATTCTCTGTACAAAATACATGTTGGGTAAATGTACTCATCTTTGTTAAAAGCCTTTGTCTCATGACAGCATTTTTCCCCCTTGTGGCTTTTTAACAGTGCAGCAGTTGAGCAGTCATATAAGGGGACTTTTTTCTTTTTGTGGGCTCATGAAATAATACACTTTCTTTAATGTGTAACTTCCTCTGTTTCTGTACAGGACTTTGGTCTGGATGTGGTGACCTTTCAGCAGATGGTGGAAGATTGTCCTCCTGACTTCCTGGAACTGGCCATCTCCTGCTGTAATGTAAGGAATACTCATCTCACACACACACATAGGCACACACATAGGCACACATCCCTTGACTTTTCTTTGTATGGGGTCACTTTATTAGCTTTGTTTTATTAGCTTATTATATTGTTCATGATGGTGGGGAAGACTGAGGAAGTTGTCAGTTTGATTGTTGGTGCTTTACGGTAATGCCAGTGCGATACAATTTAATAGCACCACTAAATACTCTTCAAATGACCATGCAGGTACCTCAGTGTACCTCAGTGTACCAGGTATCTACAGCGTTATTCGGGAGGAGAAGCTTTTGCCTTGCTTCTTTATACCAGATGATTAAGTACCCGTGGCGTTGTCGGTTTATCTTTAATGGGGCTGTCATGTTTAAACAAAGCATGTCTGTAACCTGTGTTTAAGGCCCCGTCCAAGCGGAGACGAAAACGAACCTTAGTCGTGTTCAAAAAAGTCTTCCGTCCACACGAAAACGCTCAAACGCTGGAGACGCTGTAGTACATATGCGGGGCCTATAAGTGGCGCTGTACTTCCGCCACAAAATACACCAAAAGCAGCGAATAAGACCGATGACAATTATTATTATCATTATTATTATATTATATTATATTATTATTGTTGCTGATGGTTGTGGTAGAGGAGCTGTAGATTTGCACTAAAATCGGTATCATGGTCAGTAGCGTCTGGAGCACGAACGCAACCCTGTGATCCGCCATTGTTGTTGTTGTTGGCGAAACGCATCAGCAATGACGCGGGGGTGAGCAGGAGAGGTGGGGAGAGCCGGGGCTATGGCGTCATCGTTTTCAGGAAATGATCGTATATGGCGTACACACGGCGCCGCAAGCGTTTCGTCCTCAGACCTACCCACTTTGGGAGCTGTTATCAAAGCGTATCGGATTCGGGCTCCGTTTTGCAGGGGTGGACTGGCCATCTGTAGAATTTCCCCACAGCGAGGCCCCCCCCCATCGACAACCCCCCCCCCCTCCGTTGACAGGGGTCGCCAGTCCCTGGCACTGTTATTTTGGGGGTCGTGGGCTGAAACTTTTGGGAACCCCTGCGATAGAGAACGTTAGCGGATTCAACTGATGTCGTCTCCGTGTGGACAGGGCCTTAATCACTGAAAGCCATCATTTTATAAGATAGATCGCATGTTTGAAATGTGTGGGTGTAGTCCACCTTGTTACAGCCACGCCAGGTTTCTAACTCCTTAATTTTTTTAGATTTGTTGCCAATTAAAATGGAAAATGATGACGGATTAAATCAGTTTTAGTTTTGTACTGCAGTTTTTATCTCAGAGTTCAATTTGTTGAATTTGTTTCTCCTTCCTGCCAGATGAACTCAAAGCTCCGTCCATCCTTCTCTGAAATCGTGGTGGAGCTGGAGCGGCAGCAGGCTGAGAGGAAGCAGAAAGATGAACCAACAGTCAAAGGTGAGTCATCAAACCGTCAACACACAAAAGTTTAAAAAACACAAAAGTTTAAAAAACAAATAATAATAATAATCTCCATTCTCCCTTTTTCTCTCAAGCTGTTTCTCCATCCATCGGCCCTCTCAGAAGGCGGTCCCTCTGCCTCCCGTCGGACCCTCGCCTCTCCCGCAGCAAATCGGACATGCTGCTCCCCCCGGACACGCCCCCCTCCGTCACCAACGCCATCCCTGCTCGGATCAACCCCTTCTCTCAGAGGGAGGACCTCAAGGGGGGCAAGATCAAGCTGTTCGACACCCCTAGCAAGTCGGTCATCTCCCTCACCTTCACCCTGCCCCCCCTTCCGGACTGCGAGGACCCCTCTGTGTCCGACACTGATGGCGTTGTCCTGAGGAGACACCGGCGCTGCCACTCGCTGCCGTGTACGCCCCCTCCTCACCTCACATCGGCACCGAACACCGTCCTGACCGAGGAGGAGTCCCCGTCTGAAGTGGACGCTGTAAACTGTGAGACAAAAGAAGAAGAGACACTGTTGGAGAAAGACAGACTATTGGAAGAAGAGAGACTGTTGGCAGAAGAGAAGGAGATCAAGGAGGGGAGTGGGAGTGATTCAGGTCTGCCCGGTCTGTCTCTTGAGCCCCTGTCCATGGACCCGGAGGACGGAGAGCCGATGGACTGCTCCAGCTCCCCGGACACACAGGACAGCGCTTCATCTCCGTACTCGAACCTCTCCCCTCATCCTGCTTACTCAACTCCAATCCAACCCTCCACCCCTCCCCTCTCAAACGGCTGGGGGTCGGCCATCTCCAACGGGCCGCCCTGCCTGCCTCCCCTCTCTCACTTGGACAACAACAACGTGGTCGTGAGTCGACAATTGACCAACAACAACGGCTACCACTCCCCTCCCAGTGACCCTGCAGGCTCCACCCCCTACGGCTCGGGCAGCGTTCGCTCTCTGGACCAGGAGGAGGGGGTCTCCTATCCTCTGGACCAGGAGGAGGTGGTCTCGTGTCCCGGCTGCTGCCTGGCCGGCCTCCGCTTCCCCTCCATGTGTCTCAGAGCTCCGCCGCGCATGAACCCTTACAAGAACTTGAACGGGGAACATGCAGCGTCCCGTGGGCTGCTCGCTCCGGGACCAAAAGACTCTCCCTCCCCCACCCCCACCACCACCGCCTTGCCGGGGGCACAGACTTAAACTTCTCAACAAAGAGTGTGGAAACTCTGCAACAAAAGCTTCCCTCCTGGAAATTAAGCGGGTCTTCTCAGAATTTGCACAGATTGTAACGCAGCAATACCCTGCTTATTTTCTAGACTCACTTTTGGGTGCGGATGGGTTTAGAGGAACAGACTCCAGGCTGAAGCTGTGGGGCGAGGGACTCTCTGCTGTTGCATGTCGCCCTCTGCTGGGCTGAGGACGACATGTTGATCTGACTGATTATCCACAGCGTCCTGAACTGTTAAGCATGTAAGCAGTTTGTTTGGATCCTGTATATCCAGAGATAAAAAGACTCATGACTGATGATGATGCTGAAATGAGGAATGTTAAGCTTAGTATTATTACGGCTGCAATTACTTTTGTTGATTGGTGCTGAATGAACACGCAGTTTTTGCTTTCATGTCTTTAATTACCAAGAGGGTGTATGGTGCACTGCTGGACTGTGTGTGAGAGTGTGGATTCAGTGTGAAAGGTTGGATGTGTGTGTGTGTGCGAGTGAGAGAGAGAGAGAGGAAAGGTAAGAGATTGTGTGCTGTACACCGTTCTTTTGACCTTTTTTGTTGCTGTATGATCTCTGTTGGCCCTGCTGGTCGCCTGGTTAAGCACTTCAACTGTATTACTGTTGTGAATAAGGAAACTATTGATATTATTATTATTATTACTTTGAGGAATGAATGGTCGAAGACCTGCTTATGAGATGTACAGATTCTTATTATTTAAAGATGGCATTGAATAAAAAGATAGAATGTTATTTCTCCTGATACGTCTGTCTTTTTTTTAGCTATATTAGATCAAGGCTAAAATATCTCACTATCCTGTTCAAATTTGTGTTTTTTTTGTGCAAAATGTCTATCTGGATGGATCAAAATCTGTTCAGACATTAACGTTCCCCTCATCATAACCTTGATTTCCCATCTAGAGCCATAACTATGTCAACATTTGAATTTCTTACTTCAAATTATTTATTAATTACATCTATACAGCCCCAGATGTACCTGGTGCTTAATTTTCAAACATTAGCTTGCTAGAAATTATGGTGAACGGTACCTGCAACATTAACTTGTTAGCATGTTGCCGCCTGCATTAGCTAGTTAGCATGTACTACAAGAAACTCTAGCAGACGACTAACTAGATGAAGATGGCTTCCTTGCTAAACCTTTTTCTGCTCAGAATCATCTTTTTAGCTAGCTTTGGACATATTGACGCTTAGCATGTAACTTGTTAGCATCATACAGTTAGCATTTGCAACAAAGTCGTTATTAGCCTTATGATACCATGCAACCCAGTCTCACGGCATTTCGTGTTATAGTCACGAAATTAATTTAATCTATTGATTCGTGTTCACCAACACGATTTTAAAAGCAATGTATTTCTATTGGTAGTATGTTTCGTGCCTGCACCACCTCTTTTTGTCCGGTCGGGTCTTGGAAGACCGGAAGCTGTGTGGTTCATAAAAACATTGTCTCACTCAATATCTTACCCTAAGCCTATCCCTTTTATTTTAAATTGTATAATGTCGGAGTTTTTTTGCCGTCCGCGAGGAAAAGAAATGGGGCTCAGAGCCTCAGAATACTGACATCTGTATTTTTTGTCATCTTTTTTTCCTTCTAATTTGTTATTATTTGGTGCAGGCACGAAACATACTACCAATATAAATACATTACTTCTAAAATCGTTCTGTGTCAGAATACTGAAATCTGTATTTTTTTTAATCTGTTTTACCTTCTAATTTGTTATGATTTACATTGCTTTTAAAATCGTTCTGTGTGACACGAAAAAAATGGCGAAATCGTGTTGGTGAACACGAATCAATAGATTAATTTCGTGACTATAACACGAAATGCCGTGAGACTGTGTTGCAACCATGTGCTACCTTTAGCGGGAACAATCTACAGAACTCCACTTTGAGTTTTTAGTAGTGTAGTTGGTAAAAAAAATACAAACTAATCCAATACATGTTTTATTACTCCATCTTTTGTTTCAGTTAGGTCAAGGTTGATATTTAAAATGGTGTCATTTTCTCATTAAAAGAGAAATGGTAAAAGTAAAAATGGGAATTCTATATTTTATATGTGATTTTTCCCATGAATCAAGTTTGTCCTCTGCCTCTAACCGTCTGTCGGCCAAACTTCTCATCCTCCTCTTGAGTAGATTAAAGCCTTTCATCTCTCTTACAAATCACCAGCTTTCAATTGAATCCTTATCTCTCCACCCCTTCCACCTTGTGTTCAACTCCAGTCTATCACTTCCCTCCGCAGCTTATTACATCTCCTCCTCAGTGTTTCTTTACAGGTTGTCTTGCTCTTTAAGGTAGTGTTGGGTCACCTACAGCACCGGACAGTCTGTGTGTCACTGTCCTGCTCTCTTGAACCCGAGGTCATGGAGCTATCCACGGTGGGATTGTTTGTTGTGGTCGCCCTGCTGATTACTGGTAAGTACTGAAGCTTTTATCACAAATTAAACATATATTTATTTTACTTCCGTGTAGCGGCTCCTGTGTTTCAATAAGCCATCATCTCCGCTGTGAGCGCTCAGGCTTACAAGTCAACAAAGTTGTGACAATCAGTCTTAACGGTTCAATAAGCATCTGAGTGACTGAGCTATTTTGGTGTCCATGTTTCGTGCGAACGTCCCAGGGTCGAATGGGACAGTCTGCTTCGCTGCTGTGGAATCACTGGACTTAAGATGCCTCCTGCAGTGGGATTGTCCCCATGCCAGTCCTAATACCACCTATACCGTGCAGACAAAGACGCAGGGGTAAGTCCTTCTGTGTGTGTGTCTGTGTGTCTACAGTAAGCAAGTTCAACAACTATTTATTTACAAAAAGAAAACATTTTACCCCACAATTCATTTTATGTATCAAATGTTTTTTAATTAAATGTTCTTGCAACTGACTTCCCTTTTTCAATACACTTTTGGTTTAAATTTTTACTGGTATGTTTATACAGTATATTTCATTTCGCTGTATGCCGCGTTCTGATTATAGTAGATGCTCATAATGAAATATAATAGCCTAGTTTTAAAGTTGTTTGTATCTATAATAATTGCTTCTGCTGCTGTTACACTACCTTTTTTTTTAGATGTACATAATTTGCTAATTACACTACAAAATGATGTTTAAGTATTTATTTTACTTTTCATGCAACAATGTGTAGGAATTATATTTTCCATTTTAGAAATGAGCCCTGATTTATCACTGCAGTAAAGTAAAAAACATAATGTTGACACAAAGAAAACCAAATCGGTGTTAAAATAGGCTATTTTTTTAAGTTAAAAAGATCAACAGATCAATGTTGATATGCAAAGAAGGTTCCGTTAGACCAGGGGTGTCAAACTCAAATACACAGTGGGCCAAAATAAAAAAAATGGGTACTAGTCGAGGGCCGGACTCGTTCAATGTTTATTGCAAAACTTATTGAAATGAACTTATTGCACATATTAAACCTGGAACTAACAAAGCTTAAATGATAAAAACAACATTAAACATTAAATAATCAGTTGCATTCATTTCTTATGGCTCTATCTGCAGATTTTCCAGAGTCATTTCTTATGATTATATTTTTCCACAGGCCAACAACAGCTTCAAAAAAACTATTTCCCTCAAATAAAAAACCAAACATGCCCTGCTGTCGTGAGAAAGAAAGTGCAGAAGGAAACATCCATTGAAACTCAGTGTGCTGCTCTGTGATGCTAGTTCAAGCCAGATACTTGGCATCTCATCTCGGGTGCAAGTTCATCAATGTTTGGGCTCAGGCTCTGAGCGGAGGAAATCCTCAGGATTGAGTGACGGTGTGCGTGCAATATACTGGCGGGCCAGATCTAATAGTAATTAGAAATTATCCTGCGGGCCGAAATTAAATCCACCAAGGGCCTTGAGTTTGACACATGTGCGTTAGACTAACATCTTTAAATGTAGATGAAGAAAATCAAGATGTGATGTTTTAAATAGAAACAACGAAGGATAGTTTCTATAACTTTAAACTACCTGACATAAATAATGTCTGTTAATAAGAAACATTACATTACATGTTACTTGTTAGACGCTTTTATCCATACTCAATACTGTGGGCAATCTCCACAGGAGCAATTTGGGGTGAAGTGTCTTGCCCAGGGACACAACGACATGCTGACTGCAGTGGGGTTTGAACCAGTGCTGCCCTGATCCGAACACCAACGCACTAGTCCACCGCGCCACAGCCTCCCCGAAACACTTTTCCAGTTAAAGGCTGAAAAGGGAGTTATAACGGCTCATTTGTGAAACTTAAAGAAATGTAATAAGCCACATTATTCTGCTGAATGCGTTAAATTACACCATTTAAACCCTGAAAGCCTGTGATTTGCAGAGAGCTTATTCCTGGTTTTGCTCAGGCAGCACAATGTGACTTCCTTTGTTTGCAGGGACCCCTGGCAGGAAGTACCGTGGTGCGTTTGGATCTCGTCCCGCAGCTGTGACGTCTCGCCGGCTTTCTCAAACTTTGAGTTGTATAACATGATCCGTCTGGGCGTCCACCTCAGCCCCAGCTCCACCGCCTGGATGAGGCCGCTCAAGTTCGACTACAGTGACTTCAGTCAGTGACAAACTGCAGTACAGTCATAAAATGTATACAAACATGTGATACAGAGTGGGAAAGCCTGCTGGTCCCCCTCTCTGTTGCACATGGTTTTAAACTGTTGCTTTAAAAGTACATAATGTGTTCAGCATCATGTAATTAGGGGGTAGAAGTTTATTAAACAGAGCCAAAAGGATGTGTAGAACTCTAGTTTTCTGGCAGACCACTTGAATTACAATATGCTTTTAAAGGGGACCCTATTATGCAAAATCCACTTGTTCATGTCTCTTCTACATCAACATGTGTCCCCTCTGTGTAAAGAGATTCTGAAAGTTGCAGGAAAAAAGATTCGCTCACTTTTTGTCCTGATCCATTTATATAAAAACCTGTCTGAAAATGAGCTGATCAAATTTTGGCCACTTTACGATGTCATAACGATGTTTTGGCTTGTGTAACCATTAGCCAATCACCAACCAAGGTAACCCCCCCCCCCCCCCCCCCCCCCCCATACCTTATCACCTGAATCTCCTCCTAGAGCACATTAGCCGCGTTCACACCGGAGTACTTTTCACCGTACTTTTCGCATTTAGTTCCGTTAGTACCCCTTATGTCGCGTTCACACCAAAAAGAGCACTTAATCTCGAGAACTTTTACCCCCATTTTTAGTGCCTGCTGAGAGATGGTACTTTCCTGGGGGAAAAAAGTGCCCCAGTTCTGGTTGGCTGGGCGAATTGCAAACCACGCCCGTACAACTCTGAAATGTTTTGTAGAGCCGCCATTTTATTATCCTCGCCTTAGCATTATTAGCATTAGCATTCGCCCAGCGCACAAACGCAGAGAGACTAACTTATGGCAACACAAAACAAAACATGGGAGCGGTGGAGATGAGGAGGTGTAGGCGTTCTGGCGATTTACTCGGAAGGCTTCAGTAGAAGCTGCTGGGAGTCCCAGCAGCTTCTACTGAAGCCAGTCCCCAACTCCGGGGACGTCCGGCCGGGGACTCCGGGTGGCAGTATACACCGTGAAGTGGTTTGCGGCCTGCCAGTAAACCCAAAGCAGAAGAAGAAGAAGTGACGTCAGCGGCTCATTTGCGTAATCTTCCCTCCGGTGTGAACGCGGTGTGAACGCGATCTGTACTAAATGCCCTGGGGTCATAAGTGCCGGGGCTCTGAGTGCCGGCACTAAATACGGCAAAGTACTT